GCAGGAATCATGCTTGACTGAGATTTTGAATTAGCCTGCTTTCATCAACAGGCAGTGCCAACATTCTTGAGAGAACTGATACTCTCCGTGACATTTGAACCAGTGTCACCCAACTTCTAAGTAATGAAATACTACCACTGAACTGTTCTGGCTGAACTATAGAATCCGAACAGTGATTAAAGATTAGATAAATAAGAAATTAGAATAACCACCTTCTCCCGGGGCACGTGTTGATTAGGAAATCGAAAGGAAGAAAAGTGAATGTCCGGCACTTCAATCGGGTTGATTGGTACAGAGGATCAACCAAGAAGATTTGATAAACCCTGATTCTAAACCAACAGTGCTCATAAACTCCGGGATCCTGACAAAACGAATGGCATTTGAATCTATTGTTGACCATCGGTCACCATGAAACTGCGTCTCTTGAAATTGATCCACCGCGTTATAGACCAGGTCTCTTGGTCACAGACACGAAACGTGAAAGTGGTCGCTTCTGAATTGGGATCAAAATCCGTGCCACAAAAATTTTGTTATTTACTCGATAAATATAACACATGCATGGCAGATGTATCAGTTATTGGTAATTGGTTGCGAGCATTGGTTACTCACTCATGAAAACCTAGATGGATTAAGTTTTTCAGAAAAATATTCAGTCAGCTACCACTGAACCACTGTTTCTCTAAATTTTTCTGTTCGGCAAGCTAATCAGTTTTTGCCCGTGAGAATATATAATTATTCATTCATGAGTTAATAAATTTTGAACTACTGAAATACTAATTAAGTAGGTAAACTATTAAACCCTTTATTTTTGCTGGTGGCTTTTTCGGTATGAGAATAACAACTCGTAATGGATACAAAGAAATGCTTTGGTTAGAAGGATCCTGTAGAGTTTCATTATATATTATTACGTAACACCGCATATACAGTTTTACATAGATAGATTTATTTTAACCGGTAATAAAATCTCTCAATAAGTAGATTTATGAGCTCTCAATATTATTATTCAGTGGAGCTGTAAATACGTTTAGAAAATATAAATCATTGATCAAACTGTTGAACTGCAACTCACTTGTGATTAATCGTTTCTACATATACATCATATTCGCTCACAACTCAAAAGATAGTAAGGTTTTTTCGTACTGATCGACATTTGGTTTTATTCTATTTCATTGACATCATGAATCGGTTATTGTCGAACCACCATTCGAAATCTGGAAGCACTGAACGGTCGTTTCGTCCTAGTATGGGACTCATCACCAGTGCTCACTCAAGACCCTGCAAGCTGGAATCTAACCCAGAACGCCCAACCTTTAGATTATTAAGTTGTCACCTAATGATGTTAATGTCTAACTTTAATCAATCCAACGTATTGCACAACCTCACCCATTGTCTTTGATAGGTTTCACACCCGACACGGATGAACTCCATTGATCACGGGTTCTCAATAGAACTCAGAGAATGTCCTCACGCAACTAGTCACAAGTGAGCATTTTTACCATATACTTATGGAGATTGTTAAGTTCATTCAAATCATAGATTGACTCTTGTTAGACTCATTCAGAATAAATACATATTGAATTTTCTTAATCATACAAGATAAGCTGTGTCACAAACTAAATAAGACAAAATCATAAACACAAGCTTCTTCAATAAGTTGTAATTGTTGATATATATATATATATATATATATATATATATATATATTTGATTAATTTATCAAAACTAATTAAGACCATTTCTCATCAGAACATTTGTCTAACTAAATATTGATTTTTTTTCACATTCGTATACTGTGTTTTTTTTAAGCAGCATATTTTACTGAAATGGGATATTTTCTCCATAGTCATTTTTTTTTGCAACATCTGTCTCGATTGTACTTAAAGTCGATATTACAATTTAAAAAAAAAAGAACGTTCAGATGAGTCTACATGTCTTATTTACATAATCACATTCTAAACTACATAGTCAGTCGACGGTATGTGATAGTTTTCTTATTAAAAAAAATCACACCAGGTGTTATTCGTAAGGTTTTCAGTAGAAGCATTTGTCTAGCTCAATTGCCTTAGGAATAATAGTCAGTCAGTGTTTTGAACTTGTGTGAGAATCAATGCCTTCCTTACTACAAACCGATCTCATTAAAACGGTGTTGTTACTTATGATATTGGAAATGTTTATTTAAATTGAATGAAAAATCTAAAAATTCAGAGTTATTCACAATTACAAATTACATAAAAAGATAAATATGTTTAGTTTTAATGTTTCAAATATTTAAAATGACAGTATGCATTATTTAAAGTTGTGTGTACAAATTACTACTTCCACTAAGTGGAACATTGATTTTACTTCCAATATAAACAACAGTTATAGTATCTCAGCATTCATTCATTGTACTTGAATAATTAGTCATTTGAATTATTCGATAATTGTGTATCGACCATAATTTTGTATTTGTAATGATTCGATCACAGTATGTATCGATTATTGTATATTTGATTGTGTGTGGATGCTTACTCGCTTATCACACGTCTAGTCTACTATTGTTTGACTATAAATACTTAGTCATTGCTTCAGCTCATGGAGAGTTGGCTCGCTCACTCGCCTTCTCCAATTCGTTTCGTTTTGCTCGTACGCTTCCCACTCAGTGACATCAAAACATTAATAAATCCCAGTATATATATGTATATATATATATATATATATATATATATATACAAATTCATTTATATTGGCAGTTTGAATCTTTCCGTCGTTACGTAAAACTGCGGTTGATCAGTTTCCTCTGGCATACATTCATGTTGTGCGTATTGCCTCAATATAGCCATTAGGTCATATACATGATAACTATAGATGGATAGAAGGTTACAATGGAATCCAGAACACTCATTTCAGCCTATTTGTCCGTCTGGACTCAGTTGCTAAATGGATAACATGATGGAATTTGAAGCGAACAGTACAGGGTCCCAGTTCTAGGAGTAAACATAAACTCCAGGGTGCAGGTACATCCATCTGAAAGGTATCAAATAGAATGAAATGCACATCCTGGATTGTACTGCTAGCTACTATCCATCTCAACTGGTAATGCTTGTGAGATAAACGAACTGTAAAGTATGATTGTTTTTTTATTGAATATTTTAAACATAATTTAAGTCATAGTGTATGGATGTGTCGACTTGTAAAATTACGATTAATTCGGAAATGATGTTTTGTAGCATTAATTAACTTGTTGGATACTGAAATAATTTCAGATTTTTAAATAAAAGATTGTTATTTTTCTGTATGGTGAAACAATCAATGTTCAATTTGTTATATTTACCTAGTTGACAAAAAAAACAAATTATTATGAGTTTTTCTTCGACCAAGTAATAAAGTTTTTCTAATTTATGATTATGGTTATTGTGGGTTTTTTTATTTCAAATTGTTAGAGTAAATCATTGCCAATTATAGAAAAATTTTAAATGTCCATTTTGAAAGCTTATGAATTTATAGGAGTAATAATTTTGTTTTATGCTAGTGAATTCCACATCATGTATTATTCACTGACTCCTAGATTGGTTAGGAAAAGCGCGAAGGTTGTCATTAAATTACAAGCTTCTGGGTTACGAAAGCAAGCTGTTGATTCATTATGACCCTCTGGTTGAAGTCTGAAAGAGATTGTTGTAACCCGATGCCTTGAGACGTCGTCATGTGCATCTCAGACTATAAGCTGTCGGTTATCCTGCTGTAATTTTCTTTTAGTTTCTTTATTAAAATAAGAAGGACTTGAATCAAAATGATTTTTTTCTGGTTGTATCTGTTTAAAAATGGACGCCTCCACCCCCTCACCCTGAACTCCGAGATTAATTGAAATGGAGTCAGTCAAATGGTTATAACACTATGATATTGTTACGCATACACGTAAACACGTCACTTGATACGCTTGAACTATTACGAGTTTACCCTAGTCGGAAGACGAGAGCGAGGATCCGGCGACACGACCGGCTACACTAATCCGAGTGTCCCAAACCGCCATTGAGTTAAAAGAACAAAACTTGATATCAAGTAGAACATGTACTCTACAAGCATCCAGAAAGTACGAGGTCCGAGTCCAGAGGAGAATCAAGATCCCGGACTGGGGATCCGGGTCCGGGTCCTGGTCACAAAACGTTACAGATAATGCGTATTTATACAGTTAGGTCGAACAGGAAACAACATTGAAGTATGTGACATTGATAGTTAGGACGACCATAACATTGACCAGTAGGAATTGGCCAATAGAACTGGACTTACATCAATAATTCTCTTAGGATATTTGATGAACATCCTAACAGATATAAGGTTCCATCAAATGAATGCATCACTAGTACTTATAAAATCAATTTCAAAAAGTTATATCATAATCAGATAACAAGAAAACGAACATAGTTACTAATTTCTTGATCAAATATTCTATTTCAAGTAAAAATATTTCACAATTATCAATAAAATGGAAAGGAATGCTGTAACAATTCATGAAAAAATTACACACACGAAATGAAATTTTGCACGAGAATATTGCCAATTATTCTAAATTATCATCTATATATGCTTGAAAATCATCAATGAACTTCACAAAATGTTGAGTGTCATGGAATTTAGAATTTAAATAAAAATAAAAAAACCAAAAGATAAAATTATGTAAACAAAGCGAGAGTTTCATTTACAAAATAAAAAATATGCTTAGATCACAGATTTTTCATAAAATATATTCCTCATATAAATTTAACACATCTATTTATTTCAACATGTATACAGTTTGTATAATAAATAAAGGTTCATTGAAGTGTTCACCAACATATTACATTCCATTCTTGTTATTTGGTGTCTTCATGTTTCACGTATAAAGTTATTTTTTCTCGATCACCGGATTCCAACCAACCTCCTTCTCGTTTGTTACATAAATTGTTACACAGGTCACATGATCCAATGACACTTCACAACTAGTAAACAATAATAAATAGGGGACTTCTGAAGCTCAGGTATATTTATTTCTTAAAACTAGCTAATTCATCTAAATAATGAAGAAATTAAGCAGAAGAAAATTTGTTTAAATATTAGTGTATATATATAGCGTACAATTTAAATTCTTGAAGCACATAGTTAAAAAAACAGTTTATAAAAATTGTAAGTGATTATATTGTTTTCAGTTGAAATAATGAATTGATTTTAGCCGAAATCATCATTGAAACTGTGTTGATTTTGACTATGAAACTACGCCAGTCCCCCACAAATCCCCTTTTATTGATTTTTTGTCTTATCATATAAACAGAAATCTCCAAAACTAATGTAACAAACAAATCGATCTATGTTGGATGAAGAGTATTCTTTCAACATTATACTGTATAAAAAGGCACTGAATTTAGAATTATTTAAACAATAAAAAATATTTGATAAATATTAAGGTACACTAAAACACACTGCGAAAAGCACCAAGCTGCGTCACATGGAACCCTCAAGGTTAAAGGAAAAGAGGAAGGCCAAGGAACACATTACACCGAGAAATAGAGAAAGAAGAATGAACAAACACTGGAAAGAACTAGAAAGGGAAGCCCAGGACAGAGTTGGTTGGAGAAAACTGATGGGCGGCCTATGCTTCATTGGGGGTAACAGGCGTAACTAACTAACCAAGGCACACTAAAACTTATATTTGATTTCTACAAGTAATTATCGATATAATTTTTGATTTTCATTTGAATTCTTACTGATCACTAGTAGATTTGTAATGTCTTTCTAAGCGTAAACCATTATAAACATTACCAGATGAATGAGCGACTAGCAGAAGTAGCATAAAATTTCCTACAGATAGTTTAAATTTTTATAGATTTACATTAGGCACCATTGAAACATCAGAATGTTATCCTTCATTTCATGTGGCATTCATTCTAATGTGATTGAGTGATAGTTTGTGAGTCTGTTATATCGTCGATCGGGTTATCAATACAAAGCTAATTCATTAAATTGTATAAGGCAGTCTAATCTATGATTTAATAAGATCTTGTACACAGAAACTAGATGAAGCTGTCTAGTTATGAGTATTGAAATCGGTAACGTTTATTTAACAAGTAACTGAAAACTATTGAGAATACACCCAGCTTTAATTAATATAACACAGATACCTCTCTGAGAAAATTACACACATTCTATATTTCTATTGATTAAGATCTATTTTAATAATTATGAGAGAGAAATAATCTATGGGTGTCTTTATGGATTAGGATATTTATTGATCATATTACCGGGAACGTTGTACACTTAGATTTCTTTGGAATAATGATTCCCTTTAATTATTATTTTTATCAGAAATACTTTCTAAGTACCTAATAACACTTGAAAACATTAAATATAATAAAACTCTCTCTTTATGAATAACGTACTTTCTTAAAACTTTAGACAAAAGTGAATAACTTATTCACTTCCTAGTCTAAAAATAAAAGCATTTCAATATTTCCTACTTCAAACATAGCGTGAATAATCATGTCCAAGGTCTAGTGGTGTTGGGGACATTAAATCCCCAGAACTCACTTGATTTAATTTTGTGGATTTTATGCTTTCGAGCATGGGCTGAACAGTTGACCTTGAGATTAAATTTCCCACTCGGAAAATACTTGATTGTCATTGGCTGATAGATTATTTTAGCACGCTATTTTTGTGGCTCTCTCAAGGACGTTTCTAACATGTATAAATAAACTCGATTTGTGTGCTTGCCAAACCTCATATTTTCTGGGTGCTTGCAGAATAAATACACTTCCTACACCATATCAAGACTTCTTCCTCTACTTCGTGGGGCCTTAGGACGCTCAGATTAGAGTATCCTATCCTGTCACATGATCATTTGTCTTCACTCTCGTTTATCGAGTAAGGTGAAGTCGTAATAGTTTCAAGGATATTAATTGACGAGCATGACAACTGTAAACTTTCACATTAACACCAAACGATCTTTTGTAACTGGAGATGTTTATTTAAAAGAACAGTAAATCTTTTACACTTTCAGATTTTCATTTTATACTCTAAACCTTATATATATTTATAAATGTTATTGGATAAACAAAAAGTCATCATATCAAAAACTTACTTTCTCCAGGTACAAATGAGCCCAATTTTGTTAGCATTCTTTGAGTGTAAAGCTCTACATTTGGTATATCATATTGATGTCGTAATAATTGAAGATAATATAACTTCATATAATTACCAAGTGCTTCCAAATTTTGATTGTAGAAAAGATTTTGACAAGAATTTGACAAGAAATTATTTGCTGTTTGAAAAATATCGCTGTAAGGCTGATATATTTCGGAGATACCGGTATTATAATCGAATAATTTACAATTAACTGAAGCATTAGGAAGTAGTGTAGGATTTGAAATGGCAGACTGTCCATGTCTGAATAGATCTATTTGTTTCGTTGGTGATATGTCTAATGCATCATTTTTAATCCTATTTATAGCCTTGGGTACAAACTGTTTGCTCACTTCATTAGTGCAAGTATTTGCATATCCTAAATTACAAAGAACACATGGGGTAGGAGGTTGTTCACGTTTCCATTTTTCTTGAGGACTTTCAGTTGATCGATTACAGCGGTCATACTTTAGTGATCTTCTGTCCATTCTTTGAATATCAGGGATTAGTCTGTCGGTATATGTTGGTGATGAACTCTCATTTTCTGAGGACATGTTTTCGATATTCAGTAAAGATGAAATAGTGAACTGTTTTGAAATTGAATTGGATTTACTCTTAGAGTTTGACTTTATTCTTGATGGACATGTTGTTTGTTCGTCGAACCTTGAAGGACTAGTGAATTTCTCGTCCTTTCTTGATATAAAGTTTGTCTCCTCGTCTGGTGTCTTCTGATTGTTAGGAGAGTTGTTAAAAATTTCCGGATTTGAAATATGTACAGAGTTTCTCTTAGCTACCGGAGTATACAATTTAGATTCTGACGTTTTCGGAGATATCACACCGTCAGTTTCGTGATTTAAGAAATCTGTTATAAAAGTGGACATCATAAATGGTAGAGATCCTGGAATACTTTGATTCTGTTAAGGGAATAAATGAAAGCCGGAGCATTATTAGTCATCAGTTTACATAAAATAGCGGAAAACGTAACCCTAGATCAGTATAACCATTAAAAATTGAAACTCTAAACTGTTATTTAGTTTTAGTCTTTACCTTTGTGATGCTCAAATCAATGTTCATTGCATCTACAACTTAAGTATGTCAAAAACATAAAACAATGCTTCAGTTCACTTAAATAAACTCAATTCTAAAATAACACATTTTAATCGAGTAGCAGTTCAGTTGAGATGAATAATTGAATTCAAAACTGTAACATATTACTGAAAATTATAACGAATTAGAACGTGAGTATAAATATCGGTTTTCACGGTTATCAGTCTACATGATAAACAAATCAGTTTTTAATCTAAACAATGTCTTCTCTGCACTTCTACCTACAAAAGCTCTCTCTAAGCTATCCCCGATTCATTTTTCCGTAATGTTGATTCTGTTAAGCTTCCATTCCATTTCTTCAACTAACAGAATACGCAGTACCATTTTCTTAAAGATCTATTTCTATTATTCTGATGACTGTAAAGATCTGATAAGATTTCGGGTTAATCTTCGACTACTTATTCTCAGTTAGACTTCAGTTTATGGTAAATATGTACCTTAGATTTTAGTTAATTACTCCCAGTTCAGAATTTCGATCAGCGGAAAGAATCTTCGAATTTCTATCAATGATATTTGGAATTTTTAGTACTGAAAATCAGTCAGATCTTCTAAAGGCTCTATTTTAATTTTGTCGACTATGTATATTCAGCATCTGGAGGGAAGCACGGTATTCAGTGGACAGCTAGGACGCAGCTGGACGATCTTGACCTAGCAGATGACCTGGTTCTCCTATAGAACACGCAACAACAAATGCAAGAAAAGACGACCAGTGTAGCAGCAGTCTCTGCAGCAGCAGGTCTCAACATACATAAAGGGAAAAGCAAAATTCTCTGATGCAACACAACATGCACCAACCAAATTACTCTTGATGGAGATGCCTTGGAGGACACTAACACATTTACATATCTTGGCAGCATCATCGACAATCAAGGTGGATCGGATGCAGATGTGAGGGCGCGGATTGCCAAAGCAAGGGCTGCATTTCTACAATTGAAAAATATTTGGAACTCCAAACAACTTTCAACCAAAACCAAAATCAGCATTTTCAATGCAAATGTCAAGACAGTTCTACTGTATGGAGCGGAAACTTGGAGAACTACGAAAGCCATCATCCAGAAGATACAAGTGTTTATTAACAGTTGTCTTCGCAAAATGGTTCGGATTCGTTAGCCAGATACTATCAGCAACAACGTACTGAAATCTTCTAAGTGAGGAGGTAATTGAAGTGCGAATTTTAAAAATAAATTTTATTTATCCCTAATGCTGCATAGTTCAACTTTGAAAGTTGAACTATTTTCTTGTTTACATGTTAATATAGTATACAAAGTTGAGAAATAATTAATTTTTCAGTGCAAAAACTAGAATCTTATCTTTTCTCCAGTTAATCTCTGTACATCTACAAATCTGTTAACTGAAAACTTAATATGCTTATCACAAACTTCAATGAGCGAGAAATCAACCTCAAAATATTAATCAATGTGTACTTTTATGAAGATTACTCAGCACGATAAAATTCCAACAGCTAATTGAGGCTAATTTACTAATCACGGTAAATAATTTAGGGTATGTCAGTTTCCCTTAAGAATGAAATGGTATTGAAATAAAATTAATAACAGAAGATTGATATGTTTTTAACGATAATTCAAATAGAAATACTTGGCATTAACTTACTGAAGAACTTTGTATACTTTGTGAATGTATTGATCGATGGGGAGAATCCTCATATACATTTTCAGATGAGGAGTGTTTGACATGTGAAGTATTTCTATTCTCAGAACCAGTAGTTCCTACATCATTTGTAAGATTTATTTCTGTATTTACAGCAGAGACTAATTTTTGACTTGATCTGTTCCGGTGCTCATTTATCATTGTCTGTTTTTCTATAGAAGTCAACTGATAATTTTGATTTGATTTAATTGTTGAAATATCAAAATTATTATTTCTATTGTTGTGTCCAATGCTTCCAATATGACAATTCCTATTACTGTTTGTGCATAAATGTGAAGTTGATTTCAGACTGGTTGATAAACTTTCAGGATTATTAAACGGGGAAATTACCTCTGGAATGAATAATGAAGATATCGACGAAGTCGGTATGTTTGTTGGTGAAAAGGGGAAATTCATTGAAGTATAAGATTTTGAAAAATTATGAAAATCCTTCAAATCAGAAGGATAAGTACACGAGGAACATTTAGATATTGGAATAGTGGTAGAAAATTGTGACAAAGATGGAGGCACTGAACCAAGCTTTGACGGCATTACTTTTGAATCTGATGTTGCAATGTGAGGATATTCTAACGTATTACAATGATTTTTTGATGTATCTGTTAAAGATCTTTGTACAGGAAACCAGCTTTCCTCAAATCTTGATGGGTTATCACAATTTGTACTTATATTTGCTGGCAAACCTTTTAAATTTTCAGTAAAACTCCGACTTTGTTTAACTTCCTGTGAGCTTATGTATTTGTCAGGACAGAATTTCCGCGAATATCGTGAATTTATGTTCGTCGTTTGACATGGTCTACAACCTAAGGGTTTACCTTTTCTTGTTGATAGGTTCTGAAAATCTGAAGCTCCGTTAATTATGCCATTATTGTCTTTATTGATATTTTTTATACAGTTCATCACAGAATGCTGTTCAAATGGGTAGGTATTAGTATTAGTAAAGTTTCTAGTGGTAACTTCATTAGATACTTGCATGTTTAAAAGTTCGTTACAGTCTTTTGTAGGATTAGTTTGATGATGATAATCTGATTGTTGATGCAATTTATTTGGGACATCAGTAGAAGAATTATAGTTTGCCACTTCGAGCATATTGTACCGTTTGATTAATTGGTTAAATAACTTTTCCTTTTCAGAATCAGACATTCCTAATAATTCCACATGTCTTCGGACAGTATGACGTTTGATAGTATCTACTTTTCTTTGTGTCATCACTTTATGACAAACAAGACACATGACCTGAAAGAACAGATAAGCCAACCAGAACTTTTAATTTACTTTGTAACAATTTGACTACTTACAAATATTCTAGTAGTTTAAAAATAAACAGTAAGTTTAACACAAAAGTAAATTGTTTCACTTGAGCAAAAATCTAACTCACTTGTACAACTCAACTGTCAATCACTCACTTACGCTAACTCACTTAACATCAAATAAATGTAGAACAAAAATAGTATATTAAAAACATGTTTACCGAATAGCATTCACATCAAACTTAGTAAAATTAGTCGAACTCAGTTAATGAGTAAATAACCCGCAGATAAACAGTATGTATGCATATTATTGTAGGTACATAGCAGTGATGATAACACATGTAGTGTGTTTCTTTGAATTCTCATTCATAGATTAAAATGTAAGTTTTATTTACTTAGTAATTTATTGTGACAGCATTTTTTCTCTAATTCTTCGTGGGTGATAATTTCAATGGATCCATTAATTCATCAAAATCATCTGTCAATCATAAGGGTATTGCTTTTTTTAAAGCGTATCATGGTTAAGCAATGTTTACACCAAATGACATATTTAATCACTTGAATATTTCAATAATATGAGATTATGTTAAATAGGCGATAATTGTGTCAGTAAACAGAACAAAGTAGGTCATTCTTGTTGTTTACGTGTTACTAAAGAATCAAAGAAGAAATATTAACAATTATAATAATGTTAATGGTAGTAATATCAGTATTGAGTATTCAACAGTTGTGGTTATACAATTGAACAATGAACAATGGCGTTCCTAATTAAACAAATAAGCAATCTATTATCATGTTATTTTATCCATCTAAAGAAGTATAGTTCAGGTTTTTTACCTGATATCTTAACTACATTTTACTTGTTACCAGATAAAAGTATAGTGTAGTGTTAGAAGCTTGTGGTAGTGTTTTTTTCTCTGAGCTGGATGCTTTGGTTGTGAAGCTTTCATTGCTTTTCTGAACAACGACATCATCAGCAGCAGCACAAACTTCAGATAGAAGTGTTAGAAGTTACAAATTATTTATTTATTATTATCAGAACGATCTATATTTAACATTTTGCAGTTATTGTGAATAATGTCATTAGCTAGCTGTCAAGCTTTCTGACTGAAATGCTACAAAATCCTGTGAAGAATCAAGAGTATTGCCAAACTGAGAATTTATTATTTGACCTAGACTATTTTACTACATATTAGTTTGATATAAGTTGTTGACTAGATGGCATCAATTGTAAGTTTTAAAGTTGTTTCAAGTCAGTTGCAACGCACAATTAGAACATTCCTATAGTCTTGAGAGTATATTAATACTTCTAGTTAGTTACAACTAGAATAGTTCAGTAGTATAAAGAGGTTATGACCGTTGTGCTCGTCACTAGGTATGCTTGAAGCTATTACGGGTTCACCTTAGTCGATTAACGCGAACAAGACAGTGAATCAGCATCCAGGTAGGCTACTCTGATCCGTTGACCCAAAAGAACTAACGAGAAGTCTTGATAGAGCGTAGAAAGGATAGTCTACATACATTCAACAAGTACAATGAATCCGAACACACAAATCGCCTTTATTTATACACCATATAGACGTCTTTGGAAGAGTCACAAAAATAGCACACTAAAATAACACAATAACCAATGACAGCCAAGGATTTTCCTGGTGGGAACTGTGATCTCAAGGTCAACTGATCAGTCCATGAATAAAATCTAAAATAAAGGCATTTATCAAGCGGGATCTAACATCCCCAACAATGACTTCGAAATTAAGTGGCATAAATGTGAATCAGTTTTTCCACGAGTTTCTTCACACTTTCTAGACAACCGGCTCCATTTGCACAAGATTATTTGTAATACTTGTTTTTCTTATTGGATGTTAAGCTATTATTAAACTAAACTAAAGCACCAGTTTCATACATTACTTCCTTTTAAAAATAAAAAAAGGTTGTCTAAAATTCATTAATGTTTACTACTTTGTTCTATAGTCAAAGATCTTATAGTTAAATCATTAAAATCGATTTCTAGTCCATTCAATGTAAAATCACTGCAAATAACTATCATATATTTTTCAGTAACATTTCTATCCAGTATGAACATTTATTACCGAAGAAATAATCATTTCTCATTGATTTCATCTTTATCTATTATTTACAGATTACACTGTTGTCTGTTTCCAAGCCTAAAAAAACATCCACAACCATTTCGATCAATCGTCAATATCGACTTTGATTATGTCAACAACAAAAAAGGGAATAGTTATGATTTAAAACAAAAAAAACATATATTACCAATAATGACACTTTTATAGTCAACATTCAATACTTGATACATTGCATAATTTTTTTTAAATGTGCACATGTGTTTGTTTTAAGTTGTTTTCATCCCTGAATTCACATGGCAATGATTTAATATGAGATGATGACGAAAATTTAAATTTAAATTTTTAACTTATTTCAATGTTCATTCATTTCTTGCCTGTACTGTATTTTTTATCTTATTATTTTATTTTGATTGAAAATTCTGTTGTCTGGTGAATAATGATAAAAATAATAATAGAATCTTTCTTAAAGTGTTGCTTTAACTTCACTTCTCTCCTCACCTTTGCTTATCATATTCTACATTTTTTTTCTGTCTATGTCTAACATTTTGTTCTTCATTGTGTCATTGACAATTTTGAGAAGAAGAAGAAGATAAGTGAAACGACACAGCTTATTGTGATCATTGCTTTTATTGAGTAGTATAGTTTTAAGTTAGTAAATGCATTTTTAAGTTGTAGATTGACGTTGAATCAAGTGATTGTTTGTGTTGTTTAAGTTTAAAAGATGCGAAATGTTGTCATCAACATCCTCCTCATCATCATCGTCATTGTAATTGTCATTATGAGTCTGTGCATAGTTTAACTAACAAATACTCACGAGAATTATGGTTGATAATTATCAATTAGACATAAGCAAAAAACAAAACAAAAACTTTTCACACTGTCAACTGCATAAATCTGATGATGAGAATGCATTACAACCAAACCGATCAATACAAACCACAGTGGAATAATGGCTAAAGCTGTGATACTTCATGATGACGATAATATTTGCTAATAAAAAAAATGAAATTGCTAACATAAGGAATCTTTTGTTTTCTTCTCTTAGCCAGGAAAAAAAGAAAGAAGGCGGATATTTAACTTTGATTGCAAAATTCTAACTGATTTAAATTCAATTACTCCAATTAGAGGAAACATTAAAAGAAGAAAAACTCTAATCCCTAAAAATGTAATTTAATTGAAGAATTGATGTCAATTAACTTGTGAATAATTAATGCGTGTTACTGTGTTTATTTCTTCAATGTAATATTAATATGTTTGCTTGACAGTGTCAAGAAAAAAGCGTTAAAAAGAAAAAAGTGAAAAGCTTTTTTCCCGTTTTTTTGTGTACAATATACACTTTAATCGTAATCATGGTCGTTGAATGTAGGTAGATAAGGGCGAAAAACACGTATTTGAGCACCATATTGAATCGTAGATCTTATAAGCGCGAATAACAAACAATGTCCGATGGTTAGGCATTCGTGCACAATACCGAAGGTCCGAATCCTGCTACGTGGAGGAATCGTGGATTCACACTGCTGATGAGTCCCATACCAGGACGAAACGGCCGTCTTGCAGTGCTTCCAGGTTTCTAATGGTGATCTAACAATGAATTGATTGATGATTTCAAATGTGTAAAATCACAAACCTCCAAAACTCTGCCCCAAAAAGTTTACATAACCATAATTGTATTATACCGTTCACTGAACACTAACCGATAACTAACAGTCAAAAATATCCCAATTTATATTAGTATTAAAGTGATATAAATGTGTTCTTTCATTATTTTGTTCTTGTAAAAGTAATGAGTGGTGTTCCGTTGAAATCTAATTATCCGGGATAGAAATACCTATGAAAACTCATTGCTACTGTCGAATTAGGTCTAAGGGAAACATGTTTTTTTCTATCTGCTCCTCACAATATGAATCTATTTTGATGAATAATTTCAAAACTATTTTCATTCATCAACAGACAATGTGGCTTACATTTTCCTCTAAATGACATTAGAAAATCAATAAAAATACCGAAAATTGAAAACTTTATCAAGAAAAAAAGTAGTGGTGTTCTTTTTTTCCACAAAATTATTTGTTGTAGTGTTTAAATGAAATTCATTCTGAATCTCAAACGAACATGTCTTTCCTCGGATTTTATGCAACTATTTATTTAAGAAATCGGCTTTTATTACAACTATTCCGAAATTACAATTTACACTTAGTTTTGTTAATAAATATTAAATTCTATAATTAACCACGTCATTTGACTTGGTAACAAAATGAAAAAATAAATCACATCTAAAGTCGTAAATACAACTTAAATTTATCAAAAGAGTAATTTATAAGCGACTGAAAAATTGTTAAGGTCAGTAAAAACCCAATCAAGATCAAGGTCAGCAGGATAAGCTACAAGTCGTGCGGGAAGAAATTCGAATACTTCACTTCTACCTAAAGTTAGTATACTGATGAAGTTGTTTAGAAGAACAATGTAAGCTCCACAAACCGAAGCCTCCAATTCACAGAATCAACCGCCACTGTAATCATCCACCGGAGATATAAATTTTCTCGACCATCTCAAAATAATTAATTCCTTTTCATCCAAATTGATAGCTTTCCTGTTATTTTGTAAACATACAACTGAGTATCTGTGCCACTGACTGAAAAGTTTGATCGATCAAAAGAAAAGAACCTGATGGACAAATTATTCTAACAGTACCACGGACATTGGTCATAATTAAAAAATGTTAACATTTACAATCGACTATGTTCGTTAATAGGATAGATAGTTTGTGAAGGTAATTCACTATAACGATTTAAAGTAAATCGCTTTCAAATTACACAATTTCCTTTAACCTCGTATTGCTATTAAGTGACTGGTTTCGTTGAATTTTTCAGTTTTGTAGAAAACTCTTTGTAAGATCCATTTTTTGAAGGCTTTGATTGTAAAAATCCCTTCACGTATACATATGTAATTTGTCTTTATTGATTCCTTCAGTTGTACATTTTGCTAATCTGTTCGATTCCATTTGAGATGATAATATTTGTATTTTATTACAGTTTCTATTTCTCTTGTTATTTACTGAGTTTCTATGTTTCTTTCAGAACTGCATTCATGTTGTTAAAGCTGATACTTAGTCATAGAGACAGCCATATTGATTTGTTCCTCTTTTGATTGTGTTGCTTGCTTTGACTGGAATTGTGCATTTCGATTGTGAATTGAAGCACTCTTCCAGAATCGGAAACACTACGTGTTATAAAGCAACCAAATATTATCTTTCGAACGAATCTGATCTATCCAAGAGGGATAGAATAAATTTATTTGTTGCTGTTGATTTGAATAATTAAACAATTGTCGGTGGAATAACTGAGTGGTAGTATTTGTTTATGTGATGATGTACATTTATATTTCTGATGAATATTAGAACTGTCATTTACCCGATCACCGTGTTTTGGTTTCAACTGGGCAACAGCGTGTATCTAAATAACCTAGACAGTTATTCTCCTCAATCCAAACTTCAATTTGGATTCTACAGCCGTGACTGGTAAAAGTCATTCATGACTGAAGTCATACAATTACATAGTGGCAGGACTGGAAAGTCGCATACTAGTTTTGGACTTTTAAATTGGGAACACGACATTCAAGTCCATTGGTTTATAGGGCTGGGCTCATCGAAAAATAACTGAATATCTTGAGTTGGATCAGTGTGGCTTAAAATAGTACTTCAAAGTTTTTTTTATAATAGTTTTGCAATTTAAGCTTGTAGATATAGCTTATCATCTTAATTTGATGTATATTGAAGAATACTTATTTAGGTATTGGTAGTTTAAGCACTAGAATTTAAATTTCGTAAATTAAAAAACATTGGTCTTTATGTTAGTGTTGCTTCAAGTTATCACTATTGGTCTACATTAAAAATTGAAGTTGATATTCACCATTTTAATAAAAGTAGTTGTTGACACAGTTTTATAAGTCAGTGATTGTTGAACTTCTATAGTTTACAACAATGACTAACACTAGTTAGACAAGCACTGAAGAATCAGGAAACATTGAAAAACGACGTCGTCTTAGAATCAGACATACCAACACTGTTTATCTACAACTCTGTGGGGAATCCAACTCGATACCGATAGATATACGACTTTTAAACAACTGAGCTAGTAATCAATAAGGTACGTTCTTTAATGCATGTACAACATTGTTCGACCATCGTTCAGCACCACTGGTGCATTAACGCCAAACACTATACAAAACTAAACTCCATTAATTATTACACTTGATCAATAGAAGACTAACATAAGCGCTAATGATTGTCAGACTGACGATGCCATTATTAGTGGATAATCATGGTTGATTCTTTCTTCATCAGAATAGAATATCAATTAATTAAATTTTATGATTTGTAAATCATAAAAATATTTTCCCTACCAACATAATAATAAAATTCAACTTTGAACAATTTTTTTTTTTGGGAAATTTACAAATACAAAATTAGTTTTTCTAATCAGATGAATAACATGATTAAGTCATATTCACGTTTCAGTTGTAAACTGAATTATGAATTTACAAACTTCGCATAACTGCAATCAGTAAAATTATCTAAAACTTATGATGAAACCATGCATCGATCATTGTTAAGCAACTAGTAGAAACCTGATAGTACTGGACCGCCAGTTTGTCCTAATATAAGGTTCATCTACAGTACACATCCACGACCTCCACTCGTGGAAGTCGAAACCAAAACCTTCGGCTTCCAGCACGAATGCTTAATCTCTACACCGCTGAACCCGAACCCAACAGTGTTAGAATCTAGGGATTTCGCGCGACCTCACTCACTGTCTTTATTAGTTACTGCCAACACTGGACAGGGTTGAACTCCACTGGTCACGTCTTCTCATTAGAACTCCGAGAGATTCCTCACGAAACTAGTCAGTAATGAGCACATTTTATGATTTTTTTTGTCACAGAGTTATGGAAACTGGTGTTTATGATTATGTATTTTTTCAAAATGAAGAAAAATGCCAATCTATAGATAGGCACTAATGAGTAAACGGTAATAATTAGCTCGCAAAAATATCTCACCTCATAGAGACCGTATGGTATCACAAGCCATAAATGTTTCCATTCTTCACGAAATCGTCGTCTACGATCTTTTTCACGCCATGTCAAATATTTATAAGCTGCACGTGAATCATTGGTCTTTTTCGTCAAATTTTTATTGTCAATGCTGTTGGTATTAACTTGATAATCATTATCACTTGTATTGTTGACATGTGTTGACGTTGCATAATTCATTGTTGATGCATTGACTGTTTCATCATTACTGTTCACTGGAAGATCTTTGTTGATTTTCGAGTTTTTTCTCCTCATTAGTGAATTTGTCTTTTTGTCAGTGAGTAAACATATTTCTTTTGATCCATTCGTTGTGATTAGCTGATTATCATCGAGTTGATCATGATTACAACTAGTATTACTTTCGATAATCTGACAATGATTCAAATTATTCATGTTTTTAGTTTCTGTTTTGAATTGTTTTCCAGTACATTTCTTAGACAAATTTGAATTAGTTTTAGAATATTTACGTTTTAATAAACGTCCACCAGTAACTTCTGTATTCGTAGGAGAATTGGAAGCTGTTTTAAATGATGATGATGGGGTGCTGCCTTGATTGTTTTGAATAACTGAAGAATGAATATAATCTGACCGTAATTGATTCAATTTCAGGACAGAATCATTGAGATTATCGATCGATGAGTGCATTGAATAATCAAGTGGATCCCCATGCGTGTTACTGTGTGCATTCATATTAGGCGAATTGATTTTTCTCAATGATTGAAGTATATTTGAATGCTCATATAGGTAATCACGTGTTGGTGAACTAGACTGTTGTTGAAATGGAATAGAGCACCGATTATTTGTATTCAATGAATTTGATGTGAAATATCCTGTCATATAATTACTGCTTGTATCAGACACAATCGGATTATTACAACTAGATGTCCATGTATGAGTTGGTATTTTCAAATTTCGTGACTCATTAGATGATGATAATAATATTGGTGATAGTTTGTAAACATCGTGATTTGTGGACATCTTTTTTTTGTCAATTAATAAAATAAGATCTGTATAATTTGAGTAGTCTATGGGTTCTAAAAATAAAAAAGACATGTGGTAATGTTATCCATGATCGAATGTATTTTAGAAATCATGAGAAAACGATAGTCATTAAGTGAAAAGTTTTTAGCGATTTACTGATATATTACTTTCTCGTGTGTTATCAGATAGATAACTCATTCAATCCTCCTATCGCTACTTTTCGTCAGTCATTTCACCTGAGTGAATAGTCCAGTTAGTGGATGAGTGTTTTTTGTAATTCCCAGTTGTTAGTATATAGTGGCTAAAGTATCAATAGTTTCGTGACAGTCGGTATCCAACGTGTGCCTAGAATTCGTAATTTGCTCGTCCAGATAATCGCTAATAAATATCGCCTCAAAGTTTATGAATAATAAGCTGAACACGAAGTGTTAAATACGTTTATTTTGGCACACCACAAATGGATCAGCAGACCACAAGCACAGATAGAAGGGCTAGTACTCTAGTGAGCGAGTGAAATCGCGAATTAGCGAATTAATAAGATTAAAATGCACATATATATACATAGGAAAATGGCTGAGTCAGTGAAATATTTAAGAGGTTAACTAACATTAAAGAGAGTTGGGTGAATATGCGTGTATGTGGTAATCAATGTTCAGGCATGCCAGACAGTAATAAAAACCAATAGTATATATTAGTTGTTGCTATCCAAATACCTTGGTTAAGTAAGTTAATCGAAAGGCTTAACCAAATTAAATATAAGCGAACTTAAATGTATGTAGAGGGACACTACATGTATTCAGTCCTGTAATCAATCAATCAATCAATCTCTGTTGTTCTAAATGCATCCTTAACAGATTGCGTCAATGTAGCATTCTATTACAAGATCTTAGTTTAGTGCGCATATATATAACAAGCACCAGACTGCAAGAGGGCCTCTTTCAACACACAATGTTCAGATTTGTTTACTTTAGTCTGTGTCCTCTTAGACAATTATCAACCACAGCCGATAATTGTTACAACATCATACAAATCAGTCAAAATTAGATTATATTCACCATTGAATGATCTTAATGATCTTAATGATCTATCACTTTTCTTTTCAAAATTAATTTAATCAACTGACCTCTTAGATGAAGGAGGACAAAAAGTGGTCTACAAAATACTGGAATAGTGTATCATTTGTTATTTTTGCCTACTATTATATAGGGGATAAAATATTTTCAAATGTGTAAAAACACTAATCTCCATAACTCTAATTAAATATATCGTAAAATGTGCTCATTAGTGACTAACTTCGTGAGGCAATTCTCGAAGTTCTAGTGAGAAGACGTGACCAATGGAGTCCAATCCTGTCGGATGTAGGCAGCAACTAAAGAACAAAAATGGGTGAGGTCAGGCAAAATCCTTAGATGGATCAGAGTTAGACATTAACACCGTTGGATGCCGGTCCAGTGGTCCAATAGTTAGGCGTTCGCGCACAATACCGAAGGTCCTGCGACGTTCAGGAGTAGTGGATGCGCACTGCTGATGAGTCCCATAACAGGACCTGACGGCCGTCCAGTGTTTGTGGGTTTCTAATGCTGGTCTAACAATGATTGATTGATGATTTCAAAAATGTGTAAAAACAATAATCTCCATAACTCTAACTGAAGATCTACCGATATTAGGCTCGTCATTTTCATCATGTGATCCAAAGATAAACATTAACATCACAATCACCATCATCATCATCATTAGTTTGTCAAAATTATCTACTGTGAACACAGAAAAAGTCAAGACATTTAAATAATGAACATGTATGTTCATTTTATTTTATAGATTGAACATTGATAACGATACTTTGCATGAATCACATTCACTTGTTTTTTTTTTGTTTTTTTCTTTTAAATTTCATCTAACATGCATGTAGAAATATAAACAAACAACCTAGACAAAACATGATCATATTATCAAATGTCTTATTGATTCCTTTATTATTATTATCACACTAATCAACTCTGAGGTGTAAATGTGTGAAAATAAAATTGATGTTTCCTTTCCTTTGGTAACAAACAAGAAGGGCTAACACTAGAAGAAAGAAAAAATATTCCTAACAAGATATTGTCAAAAAGTTAAGGGTATTTGTTTTGTCCTTCTACATTAGATCATGTTTGTTTTATTCTTTTGATGTTTATGTTATTCTTGGGTAGATAGATAGATAGATAGATAGATGGTGAAGTGGGTGCTTTCTTCTTCATTTGCCGACAACTATTGTTGGTTTTATTCATTACATTAAAACTACTACCGGTCTTAGTGATAGATTGAAACATTATTGAGAGCAGGTCACATCAGTCAATCAATCAATCAATGTTCAAGCTTCAATAAATGTCATTTATCTGTCAATTGGTGATCAATTGATTTGCTTATATGACCTTTTATTGTTATGGTCTTATATTCATTAATTAATTAATTGCATGTTCATTGTATTTAAGTTTTTGAAGATGAAACCGAATATAACTAACGGTTAAAATGATCAGTTTTTTGTCGGTTTATTATTCATAATGAAAATAATAATCATATACTTAATTAAAGTGGTTAGGTATTAGGCATGAAAAAACACGCTTTGATCATTACGCTTGATAACATGAGAGTGAACCGATAAAAAGCTTAAAATACGGCTGACAATAATTAACTGTATGTGAATGCACAAGCTTTAAGGAAACTAAAATATATATTCAACTTGGTAAAGTGTTATATTTGAATTGCTGAACTAATCAGTCAACAACTAGTCGATTAAATATTCGTACTACACAATTTCATTAAGTCAAGTAATCATCAACTACTCACTACTATTGAGAGTTTTTACACATTGGAAATCATTAATCAATCATTGTTAGACCAGCATTAGAAACCCACAAACACTGGACGGCCGTCAAGTCCTGGTATGGGACTCATCAGCAGTGCGCATCCACAAATCATGCACGTCGCAGGATTCGAACCCGGGACCTTCGGATTGTGCACGAACGCCTAACCTCTGAACCACTAAGCCGGCATCCAACGGTGTTAATGTTTAACTCTGATTGATCTAGGGAGTTCGCACGACCTCACCTTTTTGTCTTTGGTAGTCACTGCCTACATCCGACAGCATTGAACTCCACTTGTCACGTCTTCTCAATAGAACCTCGAGAATTTCCTCACGAATCTAGTCACTAATGAACACATTTTACGATATATATTCAATTAGAGTTATACGGATTATTAATATTATAATAATACTATAATATTTCCTTATTATTAAAATCATGAATCAATCATTGATAGACCACCATTAGAAACCTGAAAGCACTGGACGGATGTTTTGTATTGAACTCATCGGTAGTGAGCAGCGACTCACTCTCACTCTTGGCAGAAATCGAACCTAGGTCCTTCAGTCTTGGAAACGCCTAACCTTTGGACTAAGATTTCCAATAGTGTTCTAACAGTGACTGATTCAGTCTTTTGATATTAAACAACAGTCTCCATAACTATATCGTGAAAAATATTTTCTTAGTTAAATAGAAAATTATTATTCCCATCTTAGTGTTTGATATGATCACAAACAATTTCTCTTTTAACATGAGAAATAAACTTTGTTTACCGAATGTGTTATTCAAGAGGTCATTTTATAGTGACACTAATAATAATGATAATAATAACAGTTAATGTCTACAATCATATTCAATCAAACTGATTATATATTTTATTAAAATAAGTGAAGAATACTAGAATGTGAATCACTCATTTATTGATTGTTAATTGATCAGTTCAAAGTTCAAACTATCGATTTCTTTCTTTTTTCTGATTCACAATCTGACAGATTACATTCGTGTTGTTATTTTAAACTCTCAGGTGATTTTACCAATTTATTTTTTCAATTAAAGTTATGAAGATAATTGTCTTTTTCTTTTTACACATTTGAAATCATCGACCAATGATTGTTAGACCACCATTAGAAACGTGGAAGTACTGGACGGTCTTTTCGTCCTGGTATAGGACTCATCACCAGTGCCCATTCACCCACGACTCCCGCATCTCTCAGGGTTCGAACCCGTGACCTTCAGTCTTGCGCGCGGACGCCTAACCTCTGGACCACCGGGTCGTATAATGTTTCCAGGTTTCTAATGGTGGTCTAACAATGATCTTGCAACTAAATGTTTATTAGTTGGCATATATCAGAGAGGTATTTTCGAAAGATTTTGAGGGAATAAGAATTGATTAGTTCAATAATTAAATCTCCTATAGATTAATTAAAATCACTCAGTAATAATCATTCGAAAAGTTAGATGATAACGTTTTCATTATATATACGTTAGTAAACTTTATTAACTATTCACTGCTTACAGCCAATGCAATACTATTGTGAGTATGATGAACCGTATGATGAAATAACTCTCCAATGGTTCTTAATACCTTTCAATCAGTGATAGATGGTAATTTCAAACGAAACAATTTCCTTTAATATTCATCTTATTTAATCAAAAGTTATTTATGGATTTTAAATAGTCTCAATCAACTAAGAATTATATTTTTCAGTTAGAGTCATGGAGATTGGTGTTTTTCGCATATTGAAATCACCGATCAGTCATTGTTAAACCACCATTAGAGACCTAGAAGCACTGGACGGCTGTTTCGTCCTAGTATAGGACTCATTAGCAGTGCTCATCCACGACTCCTGCACGTCGTAGGATTAGAACCCAAGACATTCAGCCTTACGCGCGAACGCCATTAAGTTGTTTTATTTAACTTTAAGTGAAATGCAATGCACTTCCATACCATATAATTTATTTAATAAAATAACGTTTTGATGAGTTAATTATCTCTACTGAACATATACCAAGTAATGTTAGTCAGTTAGCTAGTCACAAACAACGTAGAACCTAGCACGTATACAGCTCACAGTTCAAGTTATCGTACAACGAGATCAAATTACGAAGACAAGTCCTGAAGTACTATGAATAATAAAGGCACCAAGCGACAGA